AGGCAGTCTTGTGACACAGCTTAAGAAGATCCTATTAGTATTGAGCAAACAACAGAAAATAAATTGATTTGTGATTTGCAAAAAAAAGGTTTATTTTGTCAATACTATAAGACTTTCTGTGATGATTCAATTGATGGAGCCAGAAATCTGTGGTCTCAATTCAAGGGAATGATATGTTTTGGCACATTATTTGTGCATCTGATAGTGCTTTTACATTTTAAACATACATAAATGCAGTATATTGAGTGGTGGGCAACGAAAATCACATGAGAGAAAATGGAAAAAGCTGGAAATCCAGAAATAGGTCAATAGAAAATATCCAAAATACTTCCTTTCATATAAAGACATTTTTTGTTGCCCGTTTTTGTCCCAGTACTCAAGTATCAGTGGATAGGCTTTTGTCCCACAAGATCATCTAGTGCACTGCCACCTATCTGCTGCAAAGAGTCATTTCAAAACTTTCGAAGACCCACATCAGGACAAAACCCCCTTAGACCAAAGACTCAAACCCAGGCCAGAACTGTTGATCCAAGAACTAACACTTCAATAAATTCTGAATTTATTGCCTGTTTAATCATTTCAGAAATACTCTATTATCAAGTTATCTTTTTTACAATAACCCAATTTGATGTGTTGAACAATGAATAAAACATGAATATTTACTTTTACTATTTACTTTAAACAAAGTCTTGTAAAAGTCTTGTCACTGAATAAATAAAATTGACATTTATTTTGACGCCAATCCCCTCAGTCAATTAGCTCATCCATAAAAATAAGTCAATTTGATTGAATGCTTTATTCATATGACATATTTCCTTTGCATGTGCTGGGATCCCATATTTTGAGAATAGACGCAAATCCATGCAAGTTTGTGAAGTTTCCTACTAGCCAAGCCTTCCTTGGGCGACCTGAAAGTTCAAATGTAGGTCCAAATGCTTGTAGGAGTGTGTTGAAACATTCATCATACGAATCCAGCAAAGATACACACTTGCAGACAAACAAAGTTGCCCCCGAGTGTCTAACAGATAGCCTGACAGCAGATATTTCTTTTGGCCCCATGTGTCCTTAAACACACAATACTGAGGCACATTACACATAATTAAATAAAGCAAGAGCTCATCACTGAAACATATTCTAGCTCCATTAAAATATATATTTTTGCTTTTAAATAGCTGTTTTGAAATTCTTATTTTCATTTTCTTGCAGGTGGAATTTATTTAGCACATATAAACACAATTATTGACAACTGTGCTTTGCAGAGTAAAAGTCTAAGATAGATGATAAAGAGAAAAAGATAAATGCATTTCAAAATAAAGTGCAAAAACATAGTTTTGATTAATTAAATGCCTATGCCGGTGTAAGAAGATAAAACTTTAACTTAGGTTTAGATTATGATTAGATTATGTCTCATGCAATTTGCTTCATTGGCAGTGGAATAGTTTACAGATTTGTATATAAATGAGATATTTTTCTCATCTAGCTCTGAATAAGAGGGTCTCATTTTACATTTATAGCATTTACAGTTAGTCTACATTTAAAAGCTCTTAGGGGCCTATTTATGCTTAGTCATTTAAAGCACTTGATCGATCGGATTGCAATTTGACCAGCACATTACTTTTACATTTAACCACATAAATGTGTCTCTGCCAAACAGCTAACCTTATGTTACATGCAAAAATAATGGAGTTCACTCCTCTGATTTAGGTGACTCATAAAAGCTAAAACAATGGCAAAAAGCAAACTTCCATAAGGATGCACTGATCAAATTCTGAACATTACTGATAAACTAATTATCAGTAATAATTGATAATAATTATTAATGTGGCAAATAAATAAATTGCCAAATTACTATGTGTAAATAAAATAAAACAAAACATTATTATGTAAAATGCTACTTTATATTTTGAGTTGGTTTAGCTTAACTTAAAAAAAATTAAGTAACCTGGTTGACTTAAATTTTTAAGTTGATTGAACTGGAAAAGGTGAGTTAATACAATGAAGGAGATTGATTTAATCGTCAGAAACTCAAAATAATAAGTTATCTGAACTGAATAAAATTTTTAAGTTGATTTGACAAAAGAAAAAAAAATGTGATAACAGATCTTGATAATATGTTTTTACAGTGTGGAGATTACAGGGAGTTTTGTTATTAACTGTATTATTGCATTAGATGATGGAAAATGTATTATAAATCTGAAAAGATGAAACATGTCTCTCTGTCTTTCCAATGGAAAAAAAACAAAAAAACATTTAGTTTCTTTTCGTACTAGGTGGGCAACAACAAAAACCCTTGACTGGAAGCTCTAGAAGTGTTTTTCCATTGTGACTCTGCACGCCATACCACTTTTAAACGGTGTGAAGTTATGGCTCCATCAGCCTCTTATCCTCTTTCTTGAGTTTGTGTTGATTCAGACATCACTTACATCAGTAAACGGCCACCCAGACTGAAGTCTTTGTCGCCACTGTGATTTAGCCAATTTATTGCCTTTGGATTGCAGGGGTTTAAACTTCACCTGCACGCACACACAAAATGAAAGGTGGAGATCTGTGTGCATAGAGCTGTTTGTGTTTGGAAACTTTCTATGTTTTCTAGGCAACTGTCATAACTGTTTTGCAGCATGGCATTCCAAGAGCGAAGTGCTGTAAATCACACACACCTGCTTTCCTTCCAGTTATTCCCTCCATGTTCATTGTCTCTCTAACCTCGTCCCTTTAATATTTTAACCTCCTGTTTGAAATTTGTCCCTTTTTGCCCCTACCTTCCTCACAAGTCTTCATCTTCTTTTCATTTTCCAAATTCCAAATTCAAGTCTCCCGGTCAACCAAGCTCCACATAACGACTCTTTCTTTTCTCAAACACAAATTGAAATTCAAACTATCTCGCTAACTGTACTTCACTATTTGTTTTTCGGGCTTTCGCCCTTACCCTCCTACTTCATATCCATGGAAACTAAAGGGGGACTGGAAAAGGAAACAGGTAACCCATGGCAACAAGGGAACTGAGGGATTCAGGCTGAGTCACCCTTTGAGCCGCCTGAAAAGTAGTGATTGTAATGGAGTCACTAGAAAGCCCCTAGACACCTCTCTATCTCCATACTAAGTGTCTGAGAGACTGATAAACAATCACTAAAGCATACAGATTTGATACATGACAGTCCTTTATTGTTCTTACATTTATCTGGCTAAAGCTTCACAATTATATATATATATATATATATATATATATTTGTGCTGTTAAATAAATTAATCGCATCTAACATAAAAGTACCCTATACTGTATATACACACACATATATTTATACATACATACAGTAGCCTATATGTACGTGTATACATATAGGCTACTGTATGTGTATCTATCTATTATAGCTTTAGATCCTGTAGCTCAAAAAAAGCATCGCCAAATGCATAAATCTATATATATATATATATATATATATACACTGTACATTACCTGAACTAACTTAGCTTTTTATAAATAGTTCAAATTATCTAATATTTTTAATTATCTAATACTTATTGCACAGTTATGAGGGTCTGCATGGATGTTCTCAATTATATCATTTCCTGTTTTATGGTTTTTCTGCTTATATTGACAAGCAGTTGTTTTTTTTTTTACAATATTATTTTTCTCTAAGAAAGTTTTAGTTTTCTTTTCAAGAATTTCATTCTTTTACTGTAATCAGGCTCTTTCTTCATAATATCACGACAGGTGATTTGTTGTCACAACATTTTTTCTTTTGTCAAATCAACTTAAATATTTTATTTAGTTAAGATAACTTATTATTTTGAGTTTCTGATGATTAAATCAACTTAAGTTCAATCAACTTAAAATTTTAAGGCAACCAGGTTACTTAATTTTTAAGTTAAACCAACAATATTTTTATTTACAGTGTAGTTAACTCACTGCATGTATTTTAATGTATTTTTGGAAATTAAAATTAAAATTACAAATGAGTGACATCTTGTCATTGACCCCAATGTAGACTTCAATTATGTTTATAGCTTTCAAGTTTTCATTGCTTTCAAAAATTCATAAAGCTGAGACAAGGTCAGCCATCATTCTCCCATAACAACAACCAAGAATCTCAGACCAAAAAAAGACCCAAACGTTGATGGAACAAACACAGATCATGTCTGACAGAGTCGAATCAGGAGGGACGCAAACCCGACACATGGTCATAAAAATGTGAGGTTAGGATTGGCAGAGAAAACTCTGTTGAGGCCGTAGCGTGACAGTCTGCACAGCTTTCCAGATGTGCCTTGGATATCTATACATCCGTTCTAGAAACCTAGTTAACAGTGACTAGTGTTTTCTCACAGTTTTGATCGCATATATACCCTAAATCTCTTTCACTTTAGCCACTTTTCTCTTTGTATCCAGCAACTGGTTAGAAACACAGACACGGTCTGTCAGGAGTAATGAAATCAGCAGGAAAAGCTAAAGCAACAGCCAGCGTGACTAAAAAGAGTCTCAAAACAGTTTGGCTCCCAACATTTGGCCTCTCTACTCCCACTCGAGCCAAATGACAGTTTATTTCACAGAGCTTGATCCACATGCAGCTGCACGCATCAATGCTGAACACTAATGTGTATCTAAAAAACACTGCATGTCTTCCTTTCCAACTTTAGTCAGTTGCCAGATTGCTTATAGAACCATATGACTCAGTACACACAAAACAAGGGCCATTTGCTAAATCAGTAAGTCTAATGTCTACATTAAGTTTTAAAGTGACTGCATTGTGATATCATTTTTAAAAATCTCAGTGTTTTTTGTCCATAAATGAAAGTCAATGGGGTCCAATGTTGTTTTGGACCCCATTCACTTTCATTATATGGACAAAACACAATATTTCAATATTCATGTTCCTCAGGAGAAGCAAAATCATACTGTTTTGGAACAAAAGGGTGGATTTCCATTTTAGGGTGAACTATCCCTTTAAATACTGAAGAACTCTTTCTCAACAAACATATCTCAGTTTCACAGTCAAATCTCTTACCTGCGACTCGCACAACCGCTCTCTCTGCAGGGTCCAGCACTGAGTCCTGGCTCTTGCGCTTGCGTCTCTCATGTTTCGATAGGTTCCACGGCAGAGTGTCCCCTTTGGGCCCGGCTGTGCTGTGGGCACAGGGCGAGAGAGAGCCTCCAGACCTCTCACTACGGAACGAACGCTCGCTCACACACGAACGTTCGCTCAGGCTCTCCTCATCCGAGGAAGACATCTCGCCAAGGGGCTGGGAGGAGGGATATGAGGGGTAGAGAAAAAAGGAAACAGAAATAAGGTCACGACAAAAAGAGAAGCATGTAAGAAACTCAATAAGATGTATAATTCATCACCCACAGGGCTATTCAGGACAACATACTACCATATATACTAGAGAACATGAGTACAAAATAAGGCAAGATTTGTGAGAACATGAACACTGCAAGAAAATAAAAGTAAAAGAAATGATGGCAGATGACTTTGGAGATCAGGTAAACATCGCTGACTCACTTCAACAATGATGATGAGAAGGAAAAGTGGCAGGTGGATCGAAATCTTTTTTCAGTCACGGGTACTATTAAAACAGGTCCTGATCAGTATTGGACATTGCATTCATTTGGCTGGGCCAGAGCTCTCTGATGTGCTTTCCTTTGTGATCAGCTGGAAGGAATGGGACCCATGGGGGCTGGAGTAGGTTCCTGTCCATCACATTGCTTCACACGAGCTGAACTCATCAATATCAAGATGTGCTCCCCTTTCCAAACTAATCACGTCATTCATGAAAGGCTTGCAAGAGGAGCTATGGCTACTCTGAGATCTAAGATATATATATATACAAATATTTTTATTGTTTTATTTTTTTGCTAAAATTCTCAATCAAGTCAATGATAAATAAAGATATCCAAGGTTTTTTTTAATATATATATATTTTAAAAAATCGAAAATAAAATGTAGGCTATGTCAAATTAATGGAAATGTTACCTCTGTGCTTGTGTTGGTGTCATATGTTTTTTAAAAACTCATATCATTTTTGAGACATGCTTTGATTTAATGACTTGAAATGAGACCAGAACCATTGTCAAGGGATACAACCGGGAATGTTGTCCCAGGCCCTGTGATGAGGGGGTTTTCTATAGTGTAGCCTATGCAAATTGAGCCGAGGGGAGAGGGGGATCACTCATTTAAAAAATAAATAAATAAAAATAAATAAAAAAAAAAAAAATCCTAGCCGACGTTGTTTAAATATTACTTTTTTCCTTAATAAATAATAAAATAATAAAGGATCATAGCATACAACTTTTTATATTTATTATAATCTATTTTATTTTTTATGTTTAGCCTACTTTCCATGATTTCCGACAATTTTTCAAATATTACTACCTATTTCATAATACATTTTAAAATAATAAATCACTATGCCATTGCCAAATTACATTTTTATTTATATTTCTGTATGTTTTTTTTTTTCAGCATTTGATTAATCTTTTTTCTTCATTTCAAAGAGTGGCTATTTTACTATTAGTTCTTACTCGACATTTAAACATTTAATTTATATAATACTACACTATGTTACATGCTTCAAGAGCACCTTTTCCAGTAGCTCAACCAGTAGAGCACGGCACCATGAATCTTGGGTTTGATTCCCACACTGTAAAAACAAATATTGTTGGTTTAACTTAAAAATGTATAGTTACCTGGCTGGTTTTGAGTTCATTGAAATTAAAATTTTGAGTTAATACAACAAAGGAGATAGAAACTCAAAATATTATGCTATCTGAATCACATTCATTAACTTAAGTTGATTTCACAGAAGATAAATGAGTTTTTACACTGCAGGTAAAAGTTGATAATCCCCTCAAATGCAATGCAGTTTGCTTTGGATACAAGTGTGACACATTCTTGTAATGTATACTACTATTGTGAACAAGTCTTTTCTGGAGTCCATGGTTTTTATTTCAGAAAGTGTACATTCACCACGTGTAACCATGTTGAGCTTTGTCTTTACTGCTTCTAAAAAGCAGGAGTTCACTAAAAACATGTCGCTGAAGCAAGATCTCTTTGCCATTCTGCTGTTGCCTGACAGCATGGTGGTTCAGTGGCAGCCAACAGATATAAATAGAGGCAATGCTGTATTCAAAACCTTGCTATGTCATTATGCCTGCAAAGAAAAAGGAGGAAAATACAGCTCTCTTTTTTCATTATTTCATCACTCATTTCTTTCCCACCACCACACTAAGTAAGTTCACAACAGCTGAATGCACCCAGTGCACCGACAGAGAGCCGTTGTGTTGATTTAAAGTCTCTCTGCAACTGGCTCTGCGTTTGCACCAAGAGTCGGGCTTCCCACAACGTTCGCCAAGCACGTCCCAGAACAGCTTTAATATTGCGCCACTGCTCCATTTCCCTTCGAGAGAAATGAGAAGTTTGTGGAACAGAGGTTGGTGGCATTTGTTCTCTTGCTGGTGTTTATACAATGTGTGCAAAGATATGCTCATGTGCACTCACTAATGAGGAAAGAAGCATCTGCTATGAGTAACACTAACACTACAGACACGCTCACTCAATAATGTCTGTCTGTGTTTAATGTCTGTGTTGTTGCTATATATGAAGAGTTCAGATGCAAAAGCCTCTAAATGCCATTTGAAATTTTCTTCTTTAATGATGATTTTTTTATCAAACTTGTATATTTAAGTTCAGTAATTTCACTTAAATAACAATTAATGGGTAATTATCATTGCCATTTAAGTGAAATCACTGAACTTAAATATACAAGCTTGATAAAAATGATCATTCTAGAAGAAAATTTCAAATGGCACTTAGAGGCTTTTGCATCTGAACTCTTCATATGTTATTTTTTTCATATACGTTTTTAAAAATAAAAGTTCCAAAAAGTGTGTTTTCACAGTGATACCATAGAAAAAAAACTTTTTTGGTTTACCAAAGAACCTTTCGGTGACTACTAGTGTGAACAACATTTGAATAATCGGAAGAATCTTTTCCCACTATAAAGAACCTTTTGATTCAAATGCTGTAAACGATTCTTAATGGAACCCCTCGATAAAGAACCTTTATTTTAAGGACTGTGGATTCATTATAGTTTTGTTTTCCCCTGCTGTACACAGAAAAGACCCATTTTTTGGATCACTACTACGACCCACCAGTTGAGAACTACTGATCTAATTGAACAGTTCTGAACATCTCCAACACCAGAGACAGACAAATGCAAAGTGAAACCTGCTTCCAAGGATAGACGCATTTTGGTCACTGGGGAAAATATATGATCAGCTCTATTAAAGAAATCACAAGACAGGCTGCAATCACAGAGACTATTTGTCCTAATTTTTGTGGTTTTGCATGTTTGCCAAAGGCAGTAGCTACAATAAGCCCCATTTGATCAGATCAAGGAAGGATTACAAACCAGGCCAATGGGGCCAGTGCCCGAGTCAGGAACCTCGAGATGTAAAACTGATGTTAGACGAACAGCACAGTACTAGTATATAGCCATAATGTGATGTAAATGAAGAAATTAGAGATATTATCAGTGCCTCTGAACACCGTTAATGCCGTAATTGCAACTTTCTGACTTGTCGAGGCTGTGACGTCATGTACTGTATTGTTATTTGGACATCACATCACAAAAACTGCAAAAGGTAGCCTAGTGCCCCAGATCACGCGGAACCATAGGCTTCATAACTTCTAAATTTGTAAATGAGGTGATGCAAATGAGCAGAATGACTACACACACACACACACACACACACACAGCAGGAAAACATGATGTAGCCAATTGTGCATCTTCTACAGGAGCACAGGGCAGAAAGCCATCTGTGGAGGCTGTTAGAAATAGCCTTTACCCTGTCAACCTTTTCACATTTTAGAGGAATGCATGTGATTATGTAAACTTATTGACCACAAGCCTTTTGTTTACTTCTCTCTGTCATCCCTGGAAGAGATCAATGAATGAATATTCACAACTGAAGGGAAAGACATGTGCATGGATCCATAAATATTTGCCTAGGAACGCCCCTTCATTCAACACGTAGGCTTCCAGCACTTTAGTGATGGAAATCCCGACACATTCGCGAATCGGTTCTTTAATGACTCGAATTCAGCAGCTCTTTTAGGTCAAGACGTAATAGTGTATGCATCCAGGGTTCAGCAAACCAAATCAGTTTGTTCAATCTAAATAAAATGTGGTACATTATTAAAGTTAATTTACTCTAACCACCATGTTCACTACGAAAGATCCGACTCTCAAGAACGATTCGTTCACAAATCAGAGATCGTAATGTGGCGAAAACCGAGGAGAGTGACCACAGAGGTGTGTAGAGCCTCTTTGTCCAAACACACACTGAATAAAACGGGCCATATAAAGATCCATTCATGCAGGCGTGAAATGAATAAAGCATCACCTTTGTCTGTAATTAATAACCGAGAGAAATTAACACATCATTTCGCTCGAAAGAGAGAAAGGCACTTCCGATAATCGGTTATTAAATGGAAATGAGGATGCTTGAAGAAAATCTCGCTTTTTCCACATGATATTTCAGCGTTTAGTAATGAAACGTTAAAGCACAAACTAAAGCTAAGATGGTGACACACATGTGTAAAAAGCGATTATTATCAGACACACACACCCCGAGGCTGTCGGACAGAATAACGGCGGACATTTGGACCTTCTTACCGTATAACGGCGGAGCCCGTAACCGCACGCAGGGTGACAGAGGCGGGGATGCGCTGCTCTCAATCCTGACAAACACGCCTCTCAGCCGGCCAGGGAAACACCGACTCTCGGTCCGTTTCGCACCGACCCGGTAGACAGCGGAGCAGAATGGAGACTGTGATTCGGTAATGGCTGTCTATTCCCCTCCTTTCATATCCCTCCTTCTCTCCCGCTCTCTCTTTCTCCAGCCCCCTCCTCCTCTTCCTCACTCTCTCCTTTCTCATCCACCCTTAAGCCCAACCCTCTTTTAATGATGATGATGATGATTTTAATAATACTTTATATGAAAATCATAAGACTAAGTCTAATAAATTCAATCAAAAGTCCCATCAGTTGAAACCCTCTCTAATGAGGATGATGATTTTAATAATACTGTATTATAGGCATTATATGAAAACCACAAGACCAAGTATAATAAAGCCAATTCAATCAAAATTTCCCATTAGTTCAATCTAATAAGCTCTGTGAATTTTAGTATCCGATTCACAGTACAGGGAAATGGTGCTTTACATTGCATCTTTTCTTGTTAATGCAACATGGTTCAAATATGTTTTTGGAATATATGTATTACATTTGAAAAATAAGAATCTAAACCAGTCTAAGACTTTTTTCTTTTTTTTAAAAAGGTATTTTTCTTTGTTCTTGTGGTCTGACCAACAAGATCAGATGAAGAAGAGTGATGAGCGGATTTTACAATTAACACTTAACTAACATGAAATAACAATGAGCAGTACCAAATTTGTTCTTTGTTAATGTTAGTTAATACAAAATACAGTCTTTCATGTTATTTCACATTAGATGAACACTGATAACAAATACAGCTTTTGATTTTAATAATGTATTAAATGTAGAAGTTAACTAAGATAAATAGATGCTGTAGAACTATTAATTATTAGCTCATCTTATCTAAGTAGTTAACTGAACCATATTATAAATTGTTACCAAAATAATACAAGTATAATCTATAATGAATAACTGTGGTCTAGAATCTGTGTGTCCTCAGTGAGCTGCAGTGGAATTCAGTGTGACAGTGAAGGATTAACTGCTGCTGCAGGACTGATCAAACAAAACCATCACAGCCCTGCTAAAAATACAGTGGGCATCCTGTGGACAACTTTGCCAAATTTGAACTCTAAAAAGATTGTCATCACGTGAAGCCAACCAACATCTAAAATGGACTACATCTTACAGTGACATTTTGTATAAAGACAGCTTTTAACTTTAAACAGGCTTAATTGAACCCATGTGATAGTCTGCACGTCTTCATCCCACTCGTACCTGACTTTACATCTGAACTTTGCACAGACAGAGCTGCTCTAAGCGTCACAGCAGAAATATCTAGCAATTTATAAACCATACTCATTCAATTATTCAAGCAGTTTATGAACCATGCTCACCCAATTATTCCCATTGGATTGCTTAGGCTTTGCATAAAAGTAACAGTAGCCTAATATAAAAGTAATTTCTCTGGAGCATCATATATCGATGCTTCATTTATTAGTTTAAACTTTAAATCAACAATTGAGGAAATTGTAGCTCAAAAATAGTGGTTTGTTACTGCCACCCACTGACCAACATACCAAATAACTAATCTTGTCAGGACGACTGGCTTAGTGATGTAATTGGGATGTCAAATGGATTGATGCATTCATATTAAGCTTTCATTTGGATGCTGTCCCGTGGGAAGCTTCAGTTGAATTCAATTCAGGCTCAGAGATAGATTGAATAAATTGTACCACAGAACAAAACAGATAATCAGACGGTTTCACACTACATGAAGAATAAATTCAAGTTTAATGCATTCTATCAATGGTTCTGAACCAGGGGGCACAGGATGAACGAATTACTAATATTAAATTAAAGTTCAATTTTTTTAAAACCATAATATACTCACCATAATCATGTGTTTGTATATATATATATATATATATATATAAATTCTAATATAAATTACAAATTCAAAAACATAAAATCTAGATCTGAAAAGCAATCATATTTCTGCCACCCCCCCCCTCCCCCATTTCTAAAACTAAATCACACACACACACACATATATATATATATATATGTTGAAGAATGGTAACAACATCAATGATATGGAATCATTATATTTATTTCTTAGACATTAAACAATGTTGATACAGCAATATTATAATACATGAGCAAGAAATTAACTGTATAACAGTTTGACTGCGTTGCGAGTGATTGTATATTCAGTCTGGGGTTGCTGAATTCACGGCCGGGTATCTTCACTGCCTGTGTGTTGAAGAGGGGGAGTGTAACTTCCCTCTTTAATCATCTTCTTCTTCTGCTTACGGATCTCATATAAGCGGTCAAGCTGAAAGGAGTGATAGTTATGTTAGTAATGTGATTGTGAACAAGCTCAAATACATGAATATTGAATATGAATATGCTTGAATATTTCAGAATTTACTTACAGTCTTTTGGTGGTGCAAGCACTCATAAAAGTCTTCCATCTCCAGCTTGCACTCCTTTTTGGCCCGGGTCTGACCGATGCCGTGGGCGCACTCTATCCACTCCTTCTCGAAGGCATGACAGCGAGCGGCCCGCTTCTGTGGCTGTTCTCCGCTCTGAGCCAAGAGCCACTGGTCTATGTTAATACCGAGCTTTGTCTGGAGGTCAATGAACGGCATGATTCTAGGAAATTAATAGAAATATTATATGTAAAAATAACGCAATCATGCCTAAAAACAATGAACAACGCAGTTGTTCGCTTTTGTTCTAATAAATCACACCTCAATGTTTGGCACTAGGCACTAAAGTCAGCATGAGAAAGCCCTTTTTTTCCGAATTGTGATGGTGTCATTTGTGTGAAACATCTTCTAAACAAGGAAAAATTTGGGGCAGGAACTGATTGGATCGTTTTGGTTTGCTATTGCTGCTCTCAAGTGATTGAAAGTTTGCCTTGCCCTCGTGCCAGTAAACACGTCATCAGAGAAGACACGTCATTTTAAGAGAGAGGGGAAGTTATTTTTTATTATAGATTACGACTCGGGTACATATATTCATATGCTTTTCAAGGATAAACAATCCCATTCCCAAAAAAAAATAAAGAATGGTCAATTTTTACTTCATCCATGGCTTTAAAACAAAAAGTGGTTATATGCAACTACTGAGTATCTCCAAACCTTGTTTATTATTGGCATGTTGACAGCGGACATGCCTAAATTATTATATTACAGCTATGTGCCTTGCCTTCAGATACGTATTAACTAATATAGTTCAACTTTCAACCAATATAAACGTTATCTAACGTTAGCTATTAAATACGAGTTGTTGAAAGACCTAGTTAATGCTTATGACTAGTAACTGGACAGATTAAGCTGGCGTTAAAAACAACAAGCAATCTGTCTGATCATGCAATTGGTAAATATTATATTTAACATTTGCACTTGTTTACTTTATCAGTGTAGAATAAACAAGCTGTATTGGTAATCGTCGTCTTGCTGTTGGCTAACTTGCTAGCCTAACGGCAGCCCAGATAACAATACAGCCAAATGTGTTTATACTAATGTAATGCATGTACAGCAAAATATTTACATTAGGGCTAGTATATTTATAAACATCACATATAAGATACAAAAGCTCTCAAATTGTAAATGCAAACACTGACCGTTCGTCACTTTAACCTTCCTCAGGCCCACTGTTCACTCACGACCTATCCTTTGCCGTAAACCAGACCCTGCGTTTTTACGCCACTGCTGCAAACACTCTGACGTCAGTGTTGCGTACAGTAGAGGGCAGTGTTGGCATATTTTTGGTATTTTCAAATCAGGTATTTTGAATTGAAGCCTGAACCAGTGTTATTTTATTAGTAGTAAATATTAATATAACACTGGTTCATGCTTAAAAAAGAAATTATACATATACACATATTATTTAATTAATTAATTTATTTATACATATTTATATGTAAATGAAGCTTTTTGCGTCCTGCCTAGTTCAAATTTAATCCCTAAAACAAGTGAATCACTATTTGATTTATATATATAAATGAGTATATGAGTTTTAATTTTAGCTTTTTTAAACTTTAGTAATTTTGGTATGTGCGTGTCACTCTTTTTTAAGTAGTCTATTACTATTTAGATTTTATTTTATTTAAGTTTTAGTTATTTATTTCCAGTTAGTGATTTTAGTCCTTCTACTTATTTTAGCTTAATTTACTTTTTCATTTAGTTTAATTTTTAATGTTTTAGTTTTACTTAATAACCTTGCACTGAACCTTTAAAAAGTGCCGTAAGATTTTAACAGTGTAATTAAGAATGTACCTAAGGTGAGTATAACTCTAACTTACAATATTTACAGATCATTTTACAACCAGTTTTTCAGTCTTTAATCCGAAAATGAGCCTCGTATGTTATAAGAGCATAAGTTTGATCATTAGGTCTTGCAGGCTTTCTACTCACAGTTTGAACATACCACAAATACAGTTACAAAATTTGCCACAAAGGAGGAAATGTTTAATTTTTTTATGTTGTTTCAAACACTCACAGCCAGTGCACTTATCTTTGTGGGGATGTACAAAACAACGCCAGATTGAACACACCTTCTCTTCAGCATATTGCTTACATAACTGAATTTAGTTGTTAACACTCATTTCACAATAACCAGTTTATAGTCAAATTATCAAGTAGTTTTAAGAATCTGCCCATAAACCTAAAAATAGAAACGCATCTTCACACTACCAAAAAATAAAAATAAAAAGAGAGCAAAATATGTGACAACCACAAATCCATTTTTTGTGATTACAATACAAAGCTAATCCATCATTACATGTACAAACCGAGGATTCTCTCTGAAGCCAAATATAATTATGAGATTCAGAAAGCATAGCATGTTAAGAATGCAAAACAAAACGACAATATTTCATCACATCCAAAATTAAATAACAAAATCATAACTACGGCATTCAAACATTTCCCAGAGAAGGTGAAATCCAAAGAAAACAAAAAAGGGAGTGCATAAATATAAGCCTACAATGTAGAACAACGATAAATAGTTGGATAAAGTGCAGGAGTGCTCATCCATCCAACCAACCCATCTCTCTCCATCCATCCGTCCAGCTGAAAATAAAACTGCAATTGCGAAAAACGAAACGCTTGAAAAGCCATGTAGATAAAATAGGCCAAAAAACATAATCAAATAATAACATTAATAACAACAGACATGCATGTGAATGTCAGTTCCATCCTTGATATACTATATGCTTTAATACCCAGCAATAAAATCAACACTGGTAAACATGATCCACACATACATCCGTCTCTCAGCTCAGCTCAAGAGGGCACAAACAGTGTAGTCAGTGAGTCACAGACAGTGTAAGGGATCTGAGAGCATGTGCTCGGTCTGTAAGGCAGGCAGTCAGTGATTCAAGTCAAACTGTCTGCTAGTGAACCCCATACTGATCTCTCTCACTCTGAAGTGTGTGTTCTTCTGTGCAAACGTGACCAAAACAATACTAGCGCAGCGCATGCAAAAAATCATACAATTTCCAGGTCGATTTAATAAAAAAACGAAGAATAACAAACATACAAACAATACTGTCATGTGTCATCCACATACAAACCACTCACGTATACATGTGCTTGTTGACATTTCACTTTGTAGCATTATTTGTCTGTTTGTTTGTTATCTTCTGGCCACGATGGTACCGCTTTTGTTGTTGTTGCTCGAGGCATTGCTCCATCGAGAAGTAAACACCAACTAATGAATAACAGTATGAATTTCTGAAGAGGTAGAGGACCTGTCCGTGCCCGTAATTGAGAGACGGGACAGGAGAGCAGAGCGATGAGCTGTCAGTTCCATGAGTTGTCTGGATGCAAGTAAGGTGTTTTTGAGAATTATAAAAAGCAGCAAAATAACAGGTAAAGCATTAACAAGTCAAAAGCTCAGAAACGGTTGGCTTTGTGCAATGGCGAGAGTCTCTCTCACACGTAAAGAATGACATTGTCGGGACAGTGCAGGCTGTCGGTGGGGTTCAAGGCTCTGCAGGTGGTCTGCGGCGGGGGGGCGGGGTGGCAGCTCTTGGGACGGGGCGAGTCGCAGTCGTCGGACGTGAGCTCCGCGATGTCGTCTGACTGCGTGTCGGACATCTCCAGGTCGCTGCGGATGCTCTCCGGCTGAGCTAGGGTGACGTCTCGGAGACCCTCCCTGAGTGACATTCCCGGCGACAGGCCCAGAGGGGAATCCAGGACAACCCCGGTCCTGCGGGAACTGCAGTCCTGAGGCTCCTCCCCCGAGCCGGGCACCATGGCAACAGTGGGCGGAGCCAGATCCTCTTCAGTGGTTAGACACAGATGGCTCGGTTTAGTTTCGATGTCCACCTGGATCTCGAGGTTAGTGCCCTCTCTGAAACACAACAGGTCATAGAAATTTCAGGTCATTTTCAGGAGAATTGATCAAAATTGCTACTATTTCATATTTATCTTATGGATGCACCAATATTAAAATACTGGTTGGTAGTAATAAGCCGATAATTGTTTTCATGTTAAAGCCAAAGTTTAAATTGTATAATATTTAGTCTAAATCAAAAACTAAAAAATTTTTAGACGCTTTGAATGTATCTAGGCATTATATCATATGGATATTCATTTTTAGATTTGCTAAATGTTATATTTAACAGTTAATTTATTTGTGTTTTGAACATCCACTTTAAGTGAGCAGCAAAGGTAATCTAAATGTAAAAATAAGGGAAATCAATATGAACTATAAAAAATCTAATATTGACCAATATTGATAAAGTATATAAATATTATTATTAATTATTATAATAATGAAAATTGTTTGATAACCATTGCGGAACTGATTAAAAACATCACTGTTATAAAGTTTGGGGTCGTTAAGGAAAAAAAAAAAAAAAAACTAATACTTTTATTCAGCTGCCTTAAATTGAACAAAAATGACAGTAAATACTTTTACATTGTTACAAAACATTTTTCTTTCAAATAAATGCAGTTTTTTTGAACTTTCTATTCATCAAAGTATCCTGAACAAAATGTATCACGGTTTCCACATAAATATTAAAGTGATACTCCACTTTTTTTGGAAATAGGCTCATTTTACAACTCACCCCGAAGAATAGCAGTAACCAATGGGACCAGAAACTGATATTCTCCTAAATATCAGAAAATTGTCTGAATGGATTCAAAAACGGTAAAACCTTATTGTTTAACTCTGAGGGAGTTGTAAAATGAGCCTATTTCCCCCCAAAAAGTGGAGTATCCCTTTAAGCAGCACAACTGTCTTCAACATTAATAATAGGAATGTTTCTTAAACAGCAAATCAGCATATTAGAATTATTTGTGAAGGGTCATGTGACACTTAAGAGTAATGATGCTGAAAATTCAGCTTTAAATGACTATTTAAATGACGAATAATATTTAACAATATTACAGTTGTTACTGTATTTAAAAAGAAATGCTGCTTTGGTCAGCAGAGGAGACATCTTACATTTACATTTATTAATCATGCAGATGTGATTAATCAGAGAGACTTTCACACCTGTCAGGTACGTAAGAAGAAGTGATAGATCCTGCCATGCCCCTTGTGCTGGCACAGTCACTGGCTGCTCCCAAGCTGCCCGTCTCCCTGCCGGCACTTTCCTTTCCCAGCTCTGTCCCCTGCACCTCCAGCCTAAAACATAAACATGTTTCCATGAAAACAAGAACACTACCCATATTTACAGTGCAGCTCTTCAATATTTACCATACACTACACAGAATAACCCAGTATGCCCTGAATACCCACATACCTGCTGTATTTTCCTGTCCTGGCACCGAGTGCTCCTCCTGCTAGTGTGTTGAAGTGTGGCGTGTCTCCCAGACCCCCAGGGGCGACGGATAGGCCATCGCTTGGAGAGGTGGTACTGAGGCCGCTGGCTCCTCCCTCCAAACTGCTCTCGCCCAGGCTGGGAGATTTCAGCGCTCGCCATGCATCAGCAACTACAGAGAAAGTGTCCGGTTGACGGTTCAATACACAGAATAGGTTTTATCCAGATGATATCATTTGATCAGTCATGTTTTTCTTACCTGTAATAGGCCCGTCATCATCATCAAAGTCTATCCTAACACCGCGACCTTTCCCCCGGCTCACCCCACAGCCTCCGCCCCGGCACAGAGAGATGGGCACGACACCATACACATATGCCAACATGATGGGGACACCAATGCCTGTAGGGAAGAGACAGATATGGAGCTGTAGTCAAACTTTGGGATTTGAGTTCAAGCGAGAGTTGATGAGAAAATCTGATGTACTGTACTAGCAAGTACAAGTATTTCCACTGCTATTTTCCCATGGCAAACTGTGGTAGTAGGCTAGCAAACCCTCTCTGTCATATTTCTAATAACTGTCGTTCACAACTAATTACATTATGATATAGTCTATTATATAGAGTGTAATACTATAGTAAATATAACATTTTAGTACATTAAAACCAAGTGTGCTTCACGTGTCCTGAAAAGCAAAGCCAAAACAAATTGATCGCCCTCTGATGGCTGGTTGCAGTATAGGTCATAAACCACGCCCTCTCTATGTAATTGAATGGGATGCGAGCTAAACTAAAAAAAATAAATTACACTTGAAACTTAATTTAGGTCATTTTAGGTAGTTCTTATGACGCTGAAGTTCAAGCGTTCAAGCTAGGTGTTCAAGTGTTCATTTTCCCAACAATGAAATCAGCAATGACCGTTTCTGGGATATTGAGGCTTCACTTTTCAACAGTGGAGAGTAGAAACAATTGTCCATCTTTTTTACACTCTTTGATCAATACTTAAAGGGATACTCCACTTTTTTTTGGAAATAGGCTCATTTTACAACTCCCCCAGTGTTAAACAGTTGAGTTTACCGTTTTCGAATCCACTGAGACGATTTTCTGATATTTAGAAGAACATCAGTAACCAGACAGTTTCTGGTCTCATTGACTTCCATAGTATATTTTTTTTCCTACTATGGAAGTCAATGAGACCAGAATCTGTCTGGTTACTGATGTTCTTCTAAATATCAGAAAATCGTCTCAGTGGATTCGAAAACGGTAAACTCAACTGTTTAACTCTGGGGGAGTTGTAAAATGAGCCTATATCCAAAAAAAAAAGTGGAGTATCCCTTTAATGATTCAGTAATGAGTTCCACAAGCTTTAAATATATCACATATCGCTTTGTTTTTTTGTGTGACACTTCCTCTAGATTTCATTTTCTCATATTTTCCATACGCTGTGCTGCACTGGAAGTAGCGGTTGCCTCTGAGGCTAAATGCAGAAGCGATCATCAATAGAGTCCATTACTACAATCAATGGGAACTGAAGCTTACAACCTTTAGATAGGAAGGTAGGAACAGAAGGAAGCATCAAAAGAGTATCATAAAATGTCATAAAGGCAGTCTATACAGTTATTTTCCATGTCTTCTGAAGCCGTATAATAGCTTTGTGTGATGAACAGATAGAAATTTCTATTCGTTAATGATTTGCTGTTAGTCATTGAGTTGAACTTGAGGGAAATGGATTAGTCTGATTTGTGAACGTGGCTAATATATTCTCTAAACAGAAGAAAGAAGGTCAAACGTGTCTAGAATAACATGAGGAAGAGGAAACTATCCCTTTAAAATGACAAATTGGCACCAAAAAAGTTACTTTGTATTACAAAACATCTAACATTAACAACTGATACGGATGAATTATTAATTTAAGTTACTAAGGGCTTCTCGTTTCAATATTTTTGTGGTAATTGTAATACAATTATTTGATGAATAAAAAGTTCTTTTGTAACCATGTAAAAGTCTTTACTGTCACTTTTGATCAATTTAACGCATCCTTGCTGAATAAAAGTGCTCATTTCTTTAATATACCCTAAAAAAACAACAACAACGTGCTGATCCCAAACTTTTAAACGTTATGAATGTAACTGTTTTCAGGAATACTCACCCACACTGACAGCAGCGATGACTGGAGCTGTGATGATTGACAGAGCCACACCACCAGTAATGGCGAGATTCCTCCTGTGATGTGACGTTTTCTTGCCCTCATAGTGCGAGTGGATCTGTGACACAAATGAGCTTTTATCAGCTAAAATAAAAGATCTGATCCTAAAGCTTCAAAATCTGAATCAAATCTATAAAACAAAATGTCCTCTGTATTTTTCAGGAGGAAGTCATTGTACCAGAATTATGGCGATATCAAACACGGTTAAGCTGGTTGAGCGCGTGTGAGAAGAGAGGGAAATTCCCAGGCTTTTTAAGGAAATTCTGTTCCTGATAGAAGCTGATAAAGGTTTCGTTAACATCTAAACTGTAGCGCTGCGGGGAAAGATGGGATGTTGGCATAGCATACCTTGCGTCCAATGTAAACAGGGATGCCGATAACCATAGCAGGAACTGCGATGCCAGCGATTAGAGTGATGCCCACCGGTGCACCGATCAAAGTGCCAAGCTGCCACAGAATCTTCTTTTTGCGACTCCATGGCTTCTTTCCCCAGAATGTACAACCTGATGGACTGAGAAGACACCATATATAATTATTAGTTTTACATTCGAGCAAGTAGTTTGATAAATTCCCACTGAGATCACTAGCAAAAGGTACCTGAGGTAGTGCAGGTCTGAAATCTCCTTCATACAGAGCCAGCAGAACTCACAGCCGCACACAGCACAGGTCATGTGATTACAGCTGCCGTCGTTCATCTTGATGATGTAGGCACCGCATCGGGGGCAAGGCTTGATGTCATCAGCTGAGTGGGGATTAAAGGGTTGGGATTTAGAATTTGTACAGGCAGACAGAATCTGCTGTAAACAGTAAGTGCTGGGGAAGCGTTTTCTGAGTGTCAGACGGGAATAAGAGAGGTTAGCAGACTCCTGCTTTAATTCAGGAGGTTAGATAGAGAAGGAGGCGAGAGCACGTCATTTAGGGAAAGAGAAACCTCAATGATCTTGCTCTGCAGTTGCTGAGGTGTTCAGAGGTTTTTTTGTCAAGGGGCTGCAGATTGAATGTTACAGTATTCAAGGTGGTCTCTAGAATATTACTATGTGGTTGCTAGGGTGCTGCTCTGGTTGGTTACCAGGACATTGCTGTACAGTTACTAAGGGCTTCTCAGTGTTTTTGTTGCTAGGTTTTTAGGGGCACAGTTCTGTGGTTGCTAGAGTGTTCTGGGTGATTTCTATGACGCTACTAGGTGGTTGCTTGACAGTTCTGGGTGGTTACTAGGGCTTTGCTATGCATTTGCTAACTTGTTTTGAGTGTTTTTTGTTGCTATGTGATTGCTTAGGAAATCCTGGTGGTTTAGAGGGCACTACTAGGTGGTTGCTGGGGTGTTGGTTGGATGGTTTTTGAGACATCACTAGGTTGTAACTAGGGTATTCTAAGTGGTTAGGACATTGCTATGCAGTTACTAACATGATTGGAGTAGTTTTTATTGCTAGGTGGTTGCTAAGGTGATCAGGGTGGTTTCTGCAGGGCTTCTAGGTGGTTACTAGGGGGATCTGGGTGGTTACTAGGGCGTTGCTAGGTGGTTTCTAGCAAGGGTACTTTGGGTGGTTTCTAAGACATCACTAGGTTGTAGCTAGGATGTTTTAAAAGGTTACTAGAACATTGCTATACAGTTACTAAGGTGTTCTGAATGTTTTTTGTTACAAGGTGGTTGCTAAGGTGATCAGGGTGGTTTCTGCGGGGCTTCTAGGTGGTTACTAGGGGGATCTGGGTGGTTTCTAGGGCGTTGCTAGGTGGTTTCTAGCAAGGGTACTTTTGGTGGTTTCTAAGACATCACTAGGTTGTAGCTAGGGTGTTTTAAAAGGTTACTAGAACATTGCTATGCAGTTACTAAGGTGTTCTGAGTGTTTTTGTTACTAGGTGGTTGCTAAGGTGATCAGGGTGGTTTCTGCGGGGCTTAGGTGGTTACTAGGGGGATCTGGGTGGTTACTAGGGCGTTGCTAGGTGGTTTCTAGCAAGGGTACTTTGGGTGGTTTTTTTAAGACATCACTAGGTTGTAGCTAGGGTGTTTTAAAAGGTTACTAGAACATTACTATGCAGTTACTAAGGTGTTCTGAGTGTTTTTTGTTACTAGGTGGTTGCTAAGGTGATCAGGGTGGTTTCTGGGAGGCTTCTAGGTGGTTATTAGGGGGATCTGGGTGGTATCTAGGGCGTTGCTAGGTGGTTTCTAGCAAGGGTACTTCTCTTGTAATATTCTATGGTGGCAAGGGTAATATCTCTGATATTACAGTCTCTAGATATGGCTCGATTCTCCCTTTCACTGTAAGTTTATGAGAAAGAAGATGGTGGACTAATGGTTGAAAACTCACCGTGTCCCTGCTCAGCCGTGTAGCTGGGTGAATGGTTACTGTGTGTTCTCAATGACAGCGCCCTTTGCTGGCGGGCAGAGTCACAGGTCTGGTTAGGATGCCAAGCTTGCTTGCAGTGGTAACAGAACTCAGCACCACACCCTTCTCTTCGACACACCAGCCTGGGGCAGCTGGCACATCCAGAGGCGATGACTGCAAAACTGGCAGAGGAACAAGGCAAACAGGTCAACTTACTCTCCTAGAGAATCTATGATTTAGGTAACATGAGATATCATTATACATAGTTTTGTGTAATTGCTCTTACACAGAAGTACATGCTACAGAGATGGTATCAGACTGTAATAATATGGTATTTCCAAAGTACTTTAAAAATAGCATCATGGTAGTGTCCAAAATTAAAGTAATATCATGGTATTTTCGGTAAATGTAGCTGAGGAATATGTGGACCATTGAACAAGATCTCAGACTTCACAAATCTTGTTTTGTTTTTTTTATTACACCATAAGCACAAACATAGAGTTTAATAAGACTGCAACGTAAGCTTGTTTCAGCCATGGAATAATGAAATGTAAAAGATAATTGCGACTTTTTTCTCTCACAATTGCGAGTTTACAATTGCAAGTTTGCGTGATATAAACTCACAAGTCGGACTTTTTTTCTCAGAATTGCATTATATGTGACTTTATATCACGCAATTCTGACATTATAACATGCACCTGTGACTTTATATCACACAAATATGACATTATAAAATGCAATTTTGACTTTATATTGTGCAATTCTTAGATTATAACACAATTGCAACTTAATTACATGCAATTCTGGGAAAATAAGTCTGAATTGCGAGATAAAAATTCATTTTTTCCTTTTGACAACCCCCCAAAATAATCACATACACTAGGATATCAGTGTGTTCCCTTCTCAGATTCTTTGTAATGTCAAATTCCTTTTAAAGTCAAGGAAAACATTAGCAGGTACAGACACTACTACATGGAAAATGAAATGGAGGATTTATTGCACAGTCAGTGTGTTCCAGCTGAGGGAGTTTCCAAGTATTCCAGTTGCATTTTATCCCTTTCCTAGTAACATTAGTTTTTTCTTCTTCTTTTATTGTGTGCCAATTTTCTTTACTTTATACCTTAAAAAAAACTACACAGGTAAACACACTGATGAACATATTGTTAAATCATAAAAACCTTGACGTTAAATCTTTAAAGAAATCACTTTTTTTGTTGATTTTATGACTGAATAAACAGTGGCAAAAGATCAAGCCGATTAAAGTTAAAATAAAACTTGACTCCAGCTTCCTTGTCTAGCTTTCGCTTATGCGTGACAAAAACAATGCCTTTAATTTTAAGTGCAAGTTTTGGCCTGTAGGCCGAAGCTAAAGCAGGTTCTGAAGAAAATTCCTCCTCCAGCTGACACCTCATTAATCCACTCAGCTGCAATGGAGAACTGTAATGTCTTACACAAAGAGCTTCCAATTACTTGCACGTACTGGCACACACACACACCCTACATGTAGAGTCAAGCCGAAACAGACCTCATTACCCATGATTATGGTATCCCTGAACACTAGGATTGAAGACAATGAAATCAACACTCTATTTTGAGGCTCACAAAGACACAGAGGCATGTACACATGGTCAAGTGAGTAGCCAATGATTGTCTTAATCAAATACCAGCCTCGGTTACCCATAGCAACTCTACCACTGTGCCGCATCTACGTTGCCATCGCAACAAATGACTGAGGGAGAGAGAAACAAGCCTTTCCTTTCTCCCATTGGCAGCTCTGGTGTTTCAATCTAGCTGAAGCAGAGCTGGTTGGGGGGCTGATGGTTAATAAACAGCACCATGGACTGGAACTGACTCTCAGGCAGCAAAATCTACAAGGGGAGCTTTGCCTTCTGTTGCTCAGAATGAATGAACAGGAAAGTGTGAGCTTGCATTGTCTAGAGTGGGAGATTCCTAGTTAGTCTAAAAAAAGAGGCAAACGAAACATCTCGGTGAACCTTAATATATCCTGCAGCACACACTTTTTTCACAACACTATATGATGCAACTTACTAACCAGCCAACATTGTGATATCTAATGGACAAAATGGCCTTTTTGAAAAATTCCCAGACCATCTGAAAACCCCTCAGTATCAGCCGTTGCCTGTTGGCCTTATAAGAAGTGGCAGTGACGCAAAAAAGAATCATGTCCCTTAAATGTGGGTCACCAGCAAACCATTATGACTGACAAACTAGGATAGGTTGTAAAATGCCTCTGAAGTAAATCACAGTCGCAAAGAATGACACATCAGCTAAACTAGGCTTCCCACCCTATAACTGTCCAAATGCCTCCTACACTTGCTGAAGCTCACAGAACAAGCCAAACTGTGAAATATGTCCCCTTACTTCTATTGAACCCATCTGCATTACATAGAAGTGCATTTAATACACTATATGAAGTATTTGAATGCCAGAATAGCACACCCTTGTTGAGCAATTTCAAAACCGTTGGCTTTAATAAAGAATTGGTTCTTCCTAACAGCTTCCATTCTCTTGGGACGGTTTTTCAGTAGATGTTGGAACATTGCTAAATTTGTTCCCATTCACACACAGGAGTATACTGGGCGAAAAATATCTCATCCAACGTTTGGGTAATTTTAGGATACCAACACACTAGAGAGTGTCTGACGGATATGAATGCCTAAGCTCTGTTTTGAGGGTAGAGCTGAGGGAAGAGCTGAGGTAGGCTGATATTCGAGAGCTGGAGCCGCCTCTCTGAAATTCTCATTGCTCAATGGATGCTTACGTCAGGGGCGATTCTCGGATTTCAGTCTTAGACTCCAAACATGAGTAACTCAGAGTAGTGTCTCTTGCCTTCACTGCCAGAAAGCACAAGTTTGCGCAATTTTTAAAAAAAATGTTTTTAAAATGTACAAGTTTTCACTTAATAATGTGCTAAGTTTCCAATGAAACAACGAAACCAAAATTAAAGTTTTCATTCACCCCAAAAACGAAACGGAAAATAAAGTTTCAGTAATTACATTTGGGTAATTAGGTAACTTAACTCGCTATGCTGTTCAGGGTGTCGTGTTCTCGTGATAAATTAAAGTTCTTGCGTAATGAGCCGCATCTTTTTATTTCAGCTGAAAATGTTTACATTTTGCTGCTCTAACATCATTTTTTGTCACGGTGATGTGTGTCAACACTGCCAACATATATGTACTCAAATATATGCACACTTACATCATCTGAGAAATACTAATTAAACGGTTTCTGTCAATGATTTCGGTTGGGAAATTTTGATGAATCACTATCTAAAATAGCATCTGATTTTCAGAAGATGCATATCAGTTAGGGTAGCAGATTATGTTGCATATTGTTTTATGATTTCACTGAAACTAAAAGCATTCAAATGAGTGAAATGGAGTGTGAGGGCCTACATTAAAATAATGGAAGGATTCATAGTGAAGTCACCTAGATATCAGAAAGTCAGCTATTATGTGTCAAAGATGAAGATGTGAATTGAGGGAATTTAATTCTGTCTTTTGTAATTTATTATATCTTTTATGAATTATAGTCTTAGGTTTGTCCCCTGACTCCTTGCAATATGTCCCTACCAACTTTGGATTCAATTCATCACATGTCTGGGCTTTAGGCTAGTCAAGTTCTACCACATCATTTTTTTTAACATTACTACATTAGTAAATCATTTCAATAATGACCTCACTTTGTGCACAGGGGAATAATCATAGTGAAACCAAAATGGCCCTCCCCAAACTGTTGCCACAACCACAATTCTCTAGAACATCACAGTATTTTGCATGACACATCTTCACTGGAATTTAGGAATCTTGCCAAACTCAGGCTAAACAAGCTTTGGCCATGTAGTGTATATGAAACAAAACCTCCTATTCAAAACAAAAAGGGTATTGTGGATATTTCATGACTCCTTGACATCCCAACCCCATCCCAATCTTACCCACAGTCGGGAGCAGGACACCATCGGCAATCAGGGTCCGATGCCAAGCAGCGGCGCAGCAGGAACTCTTCATACTTGTCCATCAGGTTGGGATCGTCCAAGATGAGGGCCACCTGCCGTGGGGCAAGTCGCTCGGCGCACTCTGGACAGCTGAGCTGCACTCGGCTCTCCGTAATCTCGATACGAAAGTACTGCCTTAGACAGCACAGGCAAGACCGGTGGCTGCATCCCTGGAGCTCAGGAAGCTGCTCCGCAGGTTGACGCACCAGGCACAAGGGACACTCTAGGAGTTCTTGACCTCCCAAAGAGGCCTGGCTAGTGGATAGAGCCTCAGCCGGGTCTGCCATAGATGGGTCTGACGACACATTTGTGGGTGTGGGAGGCTGGAGAAGCTGCTGTTGCTGGAGTTGTTGCTGTTGGTGCAGTTGCTGTGCGAGAGGAGTGCCCACATTAGCCTTGTTCCCCCTGGATCCACGTTTGCCATGGAAGAGACTATGAAAAGAGATCCTGCCTTGCTTCTTGCCCGGCCCACGGCATTTCGGATTGGGAATGCCACTAACAGAGGAGTGGGGTGATTCAGAGTCCTTTTCAGATCCCATTTCCCAAGAACAACCTTGTAATGTTCTCCCAATTGAGTCCTTAGAGAGGTCAGCGAGCTTGGGTTAGAGGAGTTCCTTTCACAGAGCGATTTCAGTGAAGGCCAAAACCTCAAGAACACGTACACTCCAGATACGCAAAAGAATGTTTGTTAATGTCTCAACAAATCCCAGTTAGTTTCCCCGTTGGGAAAATTCCATTAATGAAGTAATATCTTCCTCTTATCTGTAACAGGGAGTCGTGTTTAAACAATAAACAGAAGGAGAAGCCAGACAAATAGAGTAAAAAAAAAGGGATGGGAGCAAAGTCCTTACACTCCAACAATCTTCTTGTAAATGTAAATCAGGAAACAAAAAATAAATTGTTACACCTAAATTTGTTACGTACTACAAAACTGACAGATACTGTCAATTAAAAATGCGCCGTTTAAAGACAACTAGGAAGTTGGTAAAAAAACAAAACAGAATCAGGCTCAATATAGCGTAATCCTGAAGGTTCGTCTTCCGTCGTCTTTTGCCTCGGCTAAATTCACGGAGCCAACATGAGAGTGCTCCAGTCTGCTGTTCTCTCCTTCTGAATCAGCCGGTCTGTTGAGGAAGAGAAATAGCACAGGAAGTTAGCACAAGGCACAGACAGCCTGCAGGAGGAGCTTGCTCAGTGCACGCTCACGCTCGCGCTCACGTACACACACTCCTCCCTTCTTTTATTCTCATTCTCTTTTCATTTCACGGTTAACTCTTCATGCTCTGCACTCCTGAAGTGACTGCCTGACAGTACTGATGAATAAACCACTTACCAAACGATTAAAAAACGACACAGTTCAGGAAGTAATTGGTACTGTGACATTAAACTTGTTAAATACTGATATCCGTCATCAAATTTTCAAAGATTTTACTTCTCTTATTTTCTTTGTGTCTCACTGTTGATGACACCCTCTTTCCTCACTCTCACACACTCGAGCGCTCCCTCTTCACTTCACACTGCGCTGCTAGTGCAGTTGCCATGGTAATTCCCACTATGAACACAGCAAACAAGGACCCTCACAGTGACTCTGGCCCTCATGAACACACACACACACACAGCAGATATTAACACCACATCACATAACGCATGAGAGCATGCCTCCACTGGACTCATTTATTTATATTTGAAAAGGATATCAATCAATACGGTTTGCAAATGTCATACTAGCAGAGGAAATGGTTTTGTAGGCCAACATTATCTGTGTCAATCTCTCTGGTTCATATTTCTACTCAAGAAAGAATAAAAACACATACTTTCATCTAAGACTGTTGTGTCCTGGTTTCCTGCTCTGCTCTGATGACCTCTGAACTAATGCCTGCGTAGCACAAATCTGTTTACTTGTGCGAGGGGGAAGGGAAAGAGACCACCATGCAAGTGTAAAGCTGTCAGTGCACTTATAACTCCAAGTGTTATGATAACATAGTAGATTTTGCTAATGGGTCAGTGACAAATAAATGTCACTGTCAATGATAAGGGATGCACGATAGGGATGGACGATACATCGGTCACATTATCGGTATCGGTACCGATAAATGATCATTTTTAATGTTATCGTTATCGGCCCAACAAGAACATTTAGCCGATATCTAAAAGTTGATAACTAATGTATTATTTCCTTCAGCTGAGGCACTTTAGATGTGCACTGTTCAACATGATGCTTTTAAAGTGCTTGAAATATGATGTAATATATGATGTAGTATAATGTGCATCGCAAGTCTGTCATATCGGCTACACAATATTAAAATAAGAACATCATAATTTTGTTTGTATCTTGACTTTTAATGAGGAGACTTTTTTATAATCAGGCTCTCAAAAATTGTCTAAAAATTTAAATTTAGATTTATCGGCCAATATATCGGTTATCGGCTTATTAAATATAAAGAATTATCGGTTATCGGTATCGGCCAAAATTGTCATATCGGTGCATCCCTACACGTGCCGAGTTTTTAATAAAGTACTCTTTGTATTTGTATCGTGTTCATATGGTTTTGGTTACACTTTATATTTAAGTTGTCTTTGTGACTGTGTAACTATACATTTACAGTTATGCATTTGGCAGATGCTTTTATCCAAAGCGACTTACATTGCATTTCAAGGTACACATTTTACATTATTATTATCAGTTTTTGCTTTTCCTGGGAATCGAACCCATGGCCTTAACGTTACAAGCGCCAACATTCTACTGTTTGAGCTACAGGAAAGTAACTCGGTACATTTAAGTACTAAGCAGAGCCGGACAGAAACAGAGTGCATTCACTTGAGTACAGTACATAAGTATAATTTTGAGGGATCTGTACTTTAATCGAGTATAATTTTTGGGGAGTACTCATGACTTTACTCAAGTACATTTGAGAGGCAAATATTGTACTCTTTACTCCACTACATTTCTATCCATAACCATGAATACCCGTTTCTACTTCAAAAAAAAAGAAAATTTGTTGTTTCCGTCTCAAACGTGATTGTTTATAGGCTGTCACAATTAGTGGCGCCTGCACAATCCAATCACCTTTCTGCCAAAGTCAACTCCATGGTCAGATTTAGATAAGAGATGAAACCATACATCCCACTACACATGGATGAAACAATGGATGAAGACGCAGTAGGTCTATCCCATGAATGTGGCCCTACCTCGCCAGACTATTTTTCAATGTTCTGAAATTTTCTTAAATGTTAAATAAAGCAACATGGTAAAACGATGAAAATTACTTGATTACTTGATGTAAGCACTGTGGCTAATGCAATATTTAGAGAATACTCTTGTACTCAAGTACTTATAAAGACAAGAACTTCAGTACTTTTACTTAAGTAGACATCTGATTGTAGTACTTTTACTTGTACTTGACTAAAATTTAGCAAGGGGTATGTGTACTTTTACTCAAGTAATAAAGCTGTGTACTCTCTTTCCGCCTCTGGTACTGAGTAATATTAATTAACTATGTCCTTACTATAGGGTTAGGCTTTGGTTTAGGGTTAGCCTAGTTTATAATTTCAAGGCGTTTCAATTTAGTAATGATTTTAATTACTTAATTTTGAAAATTTCATGTGGTGTAACCACCAGATAAAGGGTAATAACATATTTTCCCTGTACATTGAATACAAAAAACAGTAAATATATATATTTTTAAGCTAAAATGTATTTTTATTTTTAAATATCAGACTATTATTAACTAATTATTAGACTAATTATATTTTGAACTACACTTGCCTTGTCATAAACAAAAGTGTATTCATTATTCATTGAAGTTTTACTTTAAAATATGTATTAAAAAATAATAAAATGTGAAGAGTTATTTTCAAGAATGTCATTCTTTTGTCATCATTATGATATCCGGACTGTTGTATCAGTATCACCCTGACATTCTTTTTAACTTATGCCCCATTCAGAAATTAATATGCACATAATAACAGTAATTTCGACATAACGTGCCAGCACCTATATATTAAAAAAAAAAATGAAACAATGGCTATATTCATATGCAATGTATTTTATTCTAGGATACTTAAAAAACACCATGATAATTTTTTATTAGTCAGTCCAAAAACACAGTATTAACAGGGTACGTTTATAAAACCATTATAGCGTGTTTGAACTAGTGCTGTCAAATCGCTTAATCGCATCTAACATACAAGTTTATTTACATATATACATCCACACAAACATACACATGCATACAGGGCCTGTTTTCTGCTGGCGATCATGGATATGCGAGGTACACAGTGACAGCAGTCAGTATGACCCACTTTTTACCTTTTTGTGCTTTTGCATTGCTCACAGCCACTGCCCTGACGTCTTGACCCATTATGACAAGAGGATGCAACAATCACCGTGCTCTATACTGTACGTGACAAAGAGACGCATTAAAAATGCAAGAGTCTGATGGAAACAGGAAAATTCAATACTATCTGAGCAGATCTGCCTATTCTAAACAGGCAGATTCAAAAGGTGGGTGTTGTTGAATCATGGCAGGTTCAATGAAAAAGAGTCTCCAACATCTATTTATATTATATATAACTTGGGGTTGAGATGGTAATAGCCCTCTATTCCACTTCAGCAGTCTCTGCTAATGCAACCAGTGACACATAATTACCATCTGTGCTCTCTGAGGTTTAGTGTGTGTGAGGGATGCTAGCGGGTGCACAACAAAAGCTGTTTCTGGAAAATCTGTGTCACATCTCGGTACCAGAGAGCAAGTTTACAAAGCGTAAGCCATTGTGTGGTGTGTGTGTGTAACCGGCATGGCTGCATTTTTACTGTACAACAGACGCTGCTGTATTATTAATTAGCTGTGAATGACATGTAGATTCAAAAGAAGCTCTTTTTTTGCTTACACTGCTGCAGCTGGAAATCAGCAGCCTGGTTTTTCCACTTAGGAAAGAGTTTATTTAAAAACTTTGAAAGCGGTTGGAACAATCCACAGCATACGCTCCCAAGCTCGATTTGATGAAAGATGGATCTCTGTTACCACAAGTTTGGTTTAGTTCTCGCAGGTTTTATCACACAGTCACAGTTTGTACTAACATGCAGAGTAAATAACACACACACACACACACACTGTATATTCTGTCCCCCTACACTATCCCCACACCTAACAGAAATTTTTCTGCATTTTTACATTTTCCAAAATAATTCCGTATGATTTATAAGAATGTTTACCCATGAGGACCTCACTTTAGGTCCCCACAGTGACACGAGACCCCATGAGTCTGTGCATTCAGGTTTAAGTCCCCACTGGGATAGAAAAACATGTACAAGCATACACACACACACACAAAACGATTAAGATTAAGATCGGGTAGAAAAGGGAAATTCTGTGTCAGTCTGGGATTTTTTTGTTTTGTTTTGTGGTCCAAAAGTGTGATACCACATTTAAAATCTGGGATTTTTTACATTTACACCAACAGCTAGACAAAAAGGTTATGATATAAAATTAATAAAAACATTTTGGATTTTCCACTATTTCTAGGTCAATAATAATCAATTACTTATAATCAAATTGTTATTCTGATAATCTTAATGACAAAATCTATTATTTTGGAAGGAATACTAAGGCTTTATATATTTTAATAAATGTTTGTAAATACAAAATATATATATAAATGATGTGTGTGTGTGTATATATATATATATATATATATATATATACACACACATGTATTACATTTTTATTCTATTAACAATAACTGTATTACTATGGTAAAACTGGAATACTACGGTATTTTTTCCAAGAGATTTTTACTGGGAAATGTACCACAGTAAACTATTTATTTTTTGTATTTCGCCTTAAATGGATAGTTCACCCAAAATTTTAATTCTATCATAATTTACTCACCCTCAAGTTGTTTTAGACCTGTATGTGTTGTTTCTTGTGTTGAACACAAAAGAAGATATTTTGAAGAACGTCGGTAACCAAACAGTTAATGGACCCCAATGTTTTTCTACACTGTAAAATAATATTTTCATGATTTTTAATCACAACAATGTTTCTTTTGTCAAATCAACTTAATTTATATAGTTCAGATAACATAATATTTTGAGTTTCTGATGATTAAATCAATCTTCTTCATTGTATTAACTCAATTTTTCCATTTCAATGAACTTAAAATTTTAAGGCAGCCAGGTAACTAAATTTTTTTAAAGTTAAACCAACAATATGTTTTTTTTTACAGTGTACACCATCATTTTACATCACATGGGTTATCCATATTCTTCAAAATATCTTCTTTTGTGTTCAGCAGAAGAAAGAAATTCATACAGGTTTAAAACAAATTGAGGGTGAGTAAATGATGACATTGATTGGGTGAACTATCCCTATACTTTTCCCCCTACTTTGTGTTATTGAGAATATTTGTTCCATATTAACAATAGGTTTTCTTCTTGAATAAAGGAAACTGCAGCTGAAGTCATAACGAAAGCACATCCTTACTACAGACACTTACTGTAAGAGACATCCCCTTTAAGGAACAAGAATATTAGTTTCATAATCTCTCACTACATAAAATTTTGTTTTCCAGACCATTTATCAACATATCACATGGGCGAACAAACAGGTTTGCAAACAGCAGAGAATGAGGACAGCACAATTTACACAAGCAAAGTCTGAAACTCATTAGATGAATTAAATTCAATACTTCAGCAAAAGGAGAATATAGAAAATAATGTAGTGTTTGGCCTCCTACCAGCATGTTACTGACAAACTCACAACTGTGAGAGATAAGAAAGAGTTAGACTGACACTGTCTCTGCGCTTCCGTCCACGTCAGACCCTGAAACCGCACCTCAGCACTTTCATATCATCCTACAGCCCCAGACCGCGGCTCAGCACTGTCTATCTCTCTCTCACACACACACACACACACACACACACAGTCACATGGTCCATTGGTGTACAGGTGGGCTACTGGATCTCTGGCCATTACATAACCATTCGAGTCACATCTGAAGATCCACTGATGCTTATTGTTGAAAGCCTGCATGTGTCCTGCTGTCTTGTTTCTGTGAGATCCGCACGATTCTGGATAGAGCCCGACCGATAAGGATTTTGAAGGCCAAAACCGATACAAATATTTTTTTGTTTTAAAATCCGATATTCCGATATATCGGCCGATATTTTTAAAAAACATTTATTTATGAAACACGCAATAAAACATTAACAGATTTCCCTAACATTAGTTATTTGTAGTTATGTATGAGTTAGAGCCAGACTGATATATCGGCAGGCCGATATTATCGGCCGATATTAGGCCTTTTACAAACTATCGGTATTGGCAGTTATAATGGCCGATAAATGAATATTTCAAAAATAAAATAAAAACAGACAAAACAGGCTTGAACCATGTCATGAGTGTTGGACTTGTATAGTTTGTCCAACAGAGGGCACTCTACACCGTACCTGTTAGCAACACTCGTTGAGTTGGTAACGAGACATACTGTACATTGCTTGAATAACAATTAAAAGAACATCCCCATCAGTTCTCTTAACTCAAATAAGCATGACAAAATTTGTGACTGTCATGTCCAGTTTTGCTGCTGTTAAATAAGCCGAGAGTGAAGCGGAATTAGCTAGTAATAGTTCCGTTACGTTGTTACAGTGTAGTTGACTGACTGTCCTTTTAACTTTTGACATAATAAGAAAATAAAAAAATATCGGCCGATATATTGGATTTTAAAACCAATATTTGTATCGGTATCGGCCTTCAAAATCCTTTATCGGTCGGGCTCTAGTATGAGTTTTAACTAAAATTATATTATATGATAATGCATTTTAAAAAGAAACTTGTTTTTTTTAATTGTCGCAACAGAACAGAGGAACCAAAGCTCATTAATGTTATACGTTAGCGGTCTTCCATTGATGATAGTGGCATTAGTTAGCTTTGTGGTTAGCTAGTCTATGATGAGCCATAATTTAGCAATGGATAACGTCATACTGCAAATTGGAAAACATACATTTTCAATATAACAGGCCAAGGGGAGATGATACGTCTCATTGCTATAACTGTCACACACTATTAAAGAGATACTTCAGTCACATTGTCAAAAGTTAAAAGGACAGTCAGTCAACTACACTGTAACAACGTAACGTATATATGCCGATATATCGGTCTGGCTCTAATTCTGGATAACGATTTTCTTGTCTTAAATAGAGATTCTCCCATGATTCTGAATAGACACATAGCAAGTATAGAGGTTCCGACAAAATGTTAATTGCTACAGTCTTTTTTTTTACATTAATTTGATTTTTTTTTTAATTTTTATCAGGTTAAATGAATGATTCAATGACTCAGTCATAAAGACTTCCCTTGTTTCATTACTGGATAAATGAGATGAATGAATGAATGATTCAATTACAAATACATTTTTAACAGTCGCTTGTTGCCACTAACTGCTGTAACTAAATAATTAATACAATCTTTATTTTGAAGCGTAACGTTACTTTTAAAAAGTGATTTACTCTATTTTGATCACTACCGTTGGTTTCAGTTTTTACATCTGAACTATAGACTTTTATCCCAATACTCCTGTTATAGAAATAATGAGAAGCTATTTTACACAACTGTACTTGTAAAAATATAGCCGAAGCGTTGTCATTTAGGAATAAGATGCAGCTCTAAATCTAATCTGTATCATTTTAAACAAAGTAGGTTCGAAGTATTGTTGATTTCACACACACACACACACACAATCGATACAAGGCGGTCCAAACCTGTATGAGTTTCTTTTTTCCGCTGAACATGAAAGGAGATATTTGGACAAATATGGCTAACCAGTAACCAAACAAGAAAAAAAAATGGGGAGTCAATGGGGTCCATAAACTGTTTGATTACCGACATTCTTCAAAATATCTTCTTTCGTGTTCAGCAGAAGAATGAAATTCATCCAAGTGAGGTTTGAAACAACTTGAGGGTGAGTAAATGATTACAGAATGTGTATTATTAGGTGAACTATCACTTCAATGAAATCTCTTTAAGCTGTGAGCTGTCTGTGTGGAGCAGGTGGTTGTGTTTATCCATTTACCATTCTTGCTAAGAAGCAGTCTGTCTGTTCTCCAGCTCACCTCATTGAAGTTAAAATCTCATATAACGCATTATCATAAATGCACTGTACAAAGATTCAAGAGTCAAGACAATAAATGACTAACACCAGTAGGCCACATTCACACTCACTGACTATTGTGTGAGGGAGGCTCAAAAGAAAAAAACATGGTTCCTGTGAAACTAAAGACCTTGATTTTATCAGTTTGCGAGAGTCACATGGAGGTTTACGGTAAAACCGTCTGATAACCTAAAAATTATGAAAAACAAGAAAAGAAAGGCTTCACGGAATAAACTTTCTGTTTGGTGAGGCAAAAGAAGAAATGAAACTGAAGTCATTCTGTGCATTTCTTGCTTTATACTAGATGGAGAAGTGTTGCCAAAACTCCCAACACATGTACAGTTACAACAAATTCATGTAATACTGTAAAGTTCATGATGAACTCATATGCACTATATTTAGAAAGGAGTTGAAGAAGCAACACATAGAGGCAGTCAACAAAGCAGAAAAGGAAGGACAAAACCTCTCCTCAATAAAAAAAGGACATTACGTACATGTAATATAAATATTGCATAACTTTGTCCCATAAATACGTAAATATGAGATTTATTTATAAATATGTATATGTAAATGAAGCTTTTTGCGTCCTGCCTAGTTAAAATTGAATCCCTAAAACAAGTGAATCACTATTTAATATATATGTATATATTTATATATTTATATATATATATATAATGTGTGTGTATGTATATATATATATATATATATATATATATATATATATATACACACACACACACACACACACACCTGTTATGTTGCCTAAACAATTAATTATGTTCAATAGTAACTACTAAAACATAAATAAAATAGCCAATGTTTAAAACAACTAGTTTATTTACTATTTATTTATTTCTGTCGCATTTCTGCACTCAAAGAAAGGTCTACAGTAAAACAAAACAATCAACAGTGGCCTGGGTCCTGGGATATGTCCTCATATAATCACACAATGATCCCCAAACACTTGGTCACCACCAGAACATCACTGTATTTTGGAATCATATAGCACAAAATGACTCTAAATGGATTCTAAAGCGTAACCATGACGAAAGATCTGTTGGGCACTTACCGTTCAGATGGATCTGATCGTGAATCAACAGAAGCAGAATAGGGCGGTACGCAGTGAGTTTCGGTGCTACTGTACACCACGTACATTCAACCAACTGGCTTGTAAATCTGACAAATATCAACCTACTGCTATCCGTTACAACATTCCGCGAACATCAGCCCAAGGGAATGATGTCAGTGCTTTTTAGCTGCCCTGTCCGCGATATCGCTCAGATTATGTCCGCAGCTGAGTCTATTCTCTTTTCCATTCACGTCACCGAGGAAAGCCCCAGCGTGTGACGACACTTGCATTTGAGAAGGAAACCCCGCCCACTGACGTCGCTCGAAACGGAAATGAATGCGTGTCACAACCTTACAGTCTATGGTCACAACGTTCTGACTGTTTAATAAGCGTCAAATCTTTTAAACCTATATCTAAAATATTTTGTGTAATATTAGTACAGTTCATCGGCAAAAACGGAAAATATTTTAAATAAAGCGATGTACACCATTGGTTCTCTCAACCAGGAGACCATTAGCCCGCTCAGCGTAAAATCTTAATTGCTAGAATTTAAAAACAACAAAAACGTAGAGATGTACAGCATTAAACTGACATACTTTTTTAGTTCATTATTTCATCAGAAGTACCAATGGTCAAATTAGCTTAAACAGGAATGCCTTTGAACAGCTGGGGGCTTTGGGGTCAAAAAGGTTCAGAACTTCTGGTTTTGTATTTCTCCTAATACAAACAAAATATGTAAAAAGTGTATATTCTTGAAATATTTTTAATAATAGGGATCTCACATTCAGACCAAAAGACTATTCATTTCAGTTAACACAGATGTCTGTTGTTATAGTGTACAGATTTTAAAAATGCTTTACGTTTTTGACACAGACCATTTCGCGTACGTCAGGCAGATTGACCGATTTGTGAAAATTTTAAAAAGAGCATACCTAGAAAACGAATATATATATATATATATATATATATATATATATATATATATATATATATATTCTGTCTCACAAACTTCAGAAATATGTTCTCAAAGTAACATAATGAGAAACACAATGAATCAAAATCTTCATGTAGGTAGTACAAAATAGCCTGCCAATTTTATTGAAGGTAATCAACTGGTTTTCAGCCAAATCTGAGTTCATTATAAAAAACAATCACTACAAGGAATGATCAAAATTAACATCAGAGACACTTCCAGCTTCCCCATTTCCCCCCATCCATTATTTTCACATCTGGATCAACCTGAATGGGAGAAACTGGATTTCATACAGCTGCAGAAAAAAAAAAGAAAAAGGTCCACAAGTAAATCAATTATTCAACTTTAAATTAAACATTAATTAATAAATATTAACTAATAAAGCACTTCATTAAAATGTTTATTTATTTATTATTATTTTACATTCAGCAATCAAACCAAGTATTCACATGACCTCTACTGGAAATCAAGCAATACTACAAGATCCAAGCCTACTAGAAAAGTGAATTAGTGATGATTCCTGTTCTTATTTTTCACATTTCAGGGGTCTGGTTTGAACAAAAAGTGCTTAAGAGCCTTCAGTATATGAAGTCTGAACTTGATCATTGAGACTTTACATTTAGTCTGGGTTCTACAATCAGTTAGTCATTCAGTATATTAATATATTATAGCTTTTTTTTTTTTTTGTCAAGGGCTCTGTAATCCATTGCTCAATAGACAGCAGATGAATCAAAACCATGTCTAAAGACAAAAAAAAAATGAGACGAATCAAATAAAGTGTTATAATTTAGACAAAATAAACGAGATCTTTACAGGTAGCAGCAGAGAAGGCAGCGAGGATGGAGGCGAAGACGAGGTTGGGTGACTGAGAAGCATCGACAGCAGTGTGCAGGCCACGGACACTGTAGTACTGCACTAGAGGAGACGTCAGCCGGTGATACGACTCCAAACGGGAGCGCAGAGTCGTCTCGTTGTCGTCACTGCGGCGAATAAGAGGCTCACCGGTCACCTGTGGATGTATGGATCAGAACAAAACTTTATAGTATGCTTGTAGATGTCATATTAATAAGAATCTGAACAGTTTGGTTTCTCACATCATCTTTCATAGGCTCTTTGGGGGGGTTGAACTCTTCATGATAAGATCTGCCACTGGGCTGGTGAATGAGCCTGGGGAACGGAATGGTATATATACACATTACAATATGTATATCTATACATGTATATAAAAAATTTTTTTTCCTTTATTTATGGAATATTGCAGTATTATAAATGATTTTTTTTTAAATCACGTGCCCTCAATTTGTAATCAAATCAGTGACATCTTTTCTCGTCTCTGATGATGGGTTTATGGTTTACTCACACAAGGGCAGTTTGTTATTCTAATGTTAATCTAGCTTACTGCTAGTCTCATACACCAAACAAACTAACACATAGAATAACATTATAACTTTCAACACACTCAATTGCAGTTTAGTGTGATAGTGTAAACCAAGTGAAACCGCGCTGCGTTACCTCACAAGCTTCTTTCGTCTAATAAACTGACCTGTGCGAGTATTAATTCAGCACTTGCGTGTAGTTCGGTAGAATGAAATGTCCTTATTTCTTGCGTGTGGCGCTGATATCGGTCCTTTTATTAGCAAATCACACCCTGCTTCATACCACAGTCATGTTTAAAACATCAATGTATTAATGAAACATTAATAGATCCATCAGCATGACAAGTTCCATAATTCTGCTAATGCGTCATCATCAACCTATGCCTTCTGTTATGGTAAGAGGTTAGCGCCCCTAGCTGCAATTTTGTTTTACATATTGTGCTTTTAAAAAAAGGAGGAAGGTTCACTCCCTTAATGAGTTCCAATGAAAACTGCATAATGAAAAATGTTCCCGTCAACTCTCATTAAATATTACACAATAATTTGACCTATTGTATGACCTTCCAAGCATATGTGTTCTCTCATTTTTGAAATGAGTGTGATGTGCTATTCAGTGCATTCTATATTCATTAAACTAAACCGAGCTATTAGACTACATTAGTAATGATGGGCTCCAATACGATGCTTCCAATTTAGAGACCCCTCCATCCTCATACCTCCCACAGATCCTGCGTACTAGCAGGGAGTCATCAACGGAGAATTCAACCACAGAATCCAGTTTCTCATTACGCTTCTCCAAGAGGGTGTCCAGCTAAAAATGAGAAAGATGCACAGTACAGGTTGACAGATTGTAGTGCAACCAGCCAATCAGAAGTGGATACCCATTTCAAATCAAGGACTGTATTAAGGTCTGTTTACACCAAGAACAAATAGGAGGTGTGGGGGCTAGATGTGGACGTTAGATATCAGGTCCACATCAACGAATGATACTGCGCTGTAGTTTCGACGTCTACTGCTTTAAATGCTCGAGCTCTTTAAAGCAGGATGCACTCCGATTGGCTGTTAAATGTTTTTATCATTCATCAACTCAATTGTTCACAGATTGTATAAGTCCTCACCATTTCTGCCTGTTTGACGGTACGGGGGAAACCGTCCAGAAGGAATCCATTTTTGCATTCAGGCGTGTCCAGATTGTTGTCTATGAGCTCCACTACCATCTCATCACTCACCTAAAGGAAAGGTGATGAACAGAGATTCAGGTCTAGAGAAGAACAAATCTAGAAATGTGAGAATTGAAATGTGAAAAAATAAAAAATAAATAGTTTACACTGAATATATCTATTCATTTTACCAGTTTGCCAGCATCCATGGTTTCCTTTAGACGCTGACCGAGTTCTGATCCAGATGCCACCATGGCCCTCAGCATGTCCCCAGTAGCTAAATGACACACACAGAACTTGTCTGCAAGCTTGGGTGCCTGTAGGGGAGATATAATATATATATATATATATATTACAAAAATCACAGTTTCCGCATAAAAAAGCAGTATTGCCGTTTTTGATATTGACAATATTAAAGGAGTAGTAAATCAGCAGCAAATCAGCATATTAGAGTGATTTCTGAAGGATCATGTGACAACGAAGACTGCTTTGCCACCACAGGAATAAATTAAAATTTAAATATATTCAAATAGAAAAGAGCAATTTTAAATGGTAATAATATTTCACAATATTACTGTTTGTTAATCAAATAAATACAGCATTGGTGAGCATAAGAGTCTAAAAACATTACCAAACTTTTGAACGGTAGTGTAAATATGATTAAAACTATAAATCTCGATCATAATTCTGTTGTAACCACATTCACAAGCCAAATTTGAACTATTTTACTGGTGTGCAACAATATTGCTCAATATCAGCAAGCACTGCAAACCAATAATGTTTTGTTAATTGATGTGAAACGTTATATTCTTTATGGTCTATTGAGTTACATGGTCGTTCAACAGGACTACAACTTTCCCAATGGTCACCAAGTTACATGCGTTGATTGTCACATGCATAGATCATTCCACATTTGCACTGAATGAACAGTCTGCCCAGGGCAACAGGGCACTGCTCTTAAAGAGACAGCAACACAGTGACACAAGCTAGTTCCCATGGCATAATGTTGGGTTTGGTTGAGTTCAATGAGTAGTTCAACCCAAAATGTATAACCTGCAGTTATTTACCATCATGTCATTCCATCCAAACATGAATAAACTTTTTTCTTCCGTGGAGGAGAAAGAATGTTAGGCAGAATGACAGTCGCCATTCACTCTCATTACATGGAACATATCAATGAAAGTGAATGGTGACAATCTGTCTAACGTCTTAATTTTGTTTTTCACAGAAGAAATAAGTCCGTAATGGTTTAGAATAGCATGAGGGTATTAGATAACAGATTTAGTTTTTTTTGGGTGAACCACCCCCTTACTATCCTGCTGAACGGTTAAATCTAAATGAGCCACGCGGCCCTTCGCACGAACTCTCACCTGAGTCCCCTTCCCTGCTCCGGGTGGGCCGAGCAGAATGGCTCGAATGCCTTTCCGTATACCGGAGACAGTTGCATCCGCTTGCGTGCTGGGGGCCATGGTTACAAGGTGTAAACGAACTAAAAACACTTCTCTCCACCACTCTACACACTTTGCGTCCGCAAACTCACTCAGCCGAGAAAGGAAGTGTAACGCCTCCGATTGATGACTATGGACTACAAGGCCCGCCTTCTAAGACCAGACCGCCAATCTGATTGGTCAATAAGACGTCGATTATGAACAGCGCGAGCTCATTGGGTGAAAATCGAATACCTCACCATCATATAATATCCGGGATTTGGCCTGAAGTGACATTGCATCAAAAAGATTTTAAAGTATAGATAAGGCTAAAGATATCCGTACCTAAAATGAAACATTACTCCTCACATCAAACTGTACAAAGGTGATCATTTCACTTTTCTTCTTCCAATTCCATGACTAACATTATATTACCCAGACCAGACCATTAAAATACACTGGAAACGCTAAAATAAATTATATTTATATACTATTTCCAATAGTTTAATAGATTTAAAACTATTTTAGTATATTTTGTGTACTGTTAACGTGTTAATAAATGTCTCAGTTCTAGCAAGTATTTTAAATTTCAGATAGTTGACAAGGTCTAATTTTTGTTTCAGCTCGTGTTGACCTTTTTGCTTTATATTAATTCACAAAAAAATATTTTTGTTTGTTTTGATTAACAATAACACTGTGTTCAATATATCATTGCAATGTCAATGCTAATGAAAATTAATGACAAACATTCAGCAGGTTACTCATACAGTATTTAAAAAATATATATACTAATTCTAAACATTACTAAATCTAAAAAAATACAGAGATGAGCTTCATAATATTGAACATAAGATGGAACATCAGCATCAAGATTGACTTGCAAAGGTATAAAACATGCATGTAAATATCTTTCTACTTCAAAAATAGTGATAAACCCCCAAAAGACTAAGAAACAGAATTAACAGATGGCATGTACGTTGTCAAAAGCTTGTTTATTTAAACTGCAGCTCTGTGTGATACATGGAATACACATTTGGAGTGTTTAAGATACAGAACACACAAAACAGCCAATTTAAGCCATTACACTAAAGTGCCTTGGGGTTAACTACAGTGATAGTGGCTGCATTTTGGTATTGTGCATCACAAGGTTAAGACATGTCGTGCCAAAACAAAGAAGCTTTTGTAAGTATCACTTATTCAACAAACTCGTTTGGACACAAGTTAATAAATCTAGAGTAAGGTATAAGAATTTAAAAAGTTATAAAAGTAAAGCAAACACAGAAATATACATACGTAGTAGAGTTCAGAAAATAGGGGATGTGCATGATAAAAATATTTTAGCTCACATACTGATCTAGCAATGGATAAAAAAAATGTCTTGGGGTATTTTCCTTTTCAATGAAAAAGGAAAATATCTGACAAATGCAGTCTGTATGCGTATTCTTTTGAAGGCTCATATCCTTCGTCATAGTGTAACTGCAGAAACTTAGATGAAGAGCTGTTATGACGAAAATATCGAATTGTGTTTTCAATTGTCTGCCGTGTTTGAACCACTCAAAAAATATATATTCCCTTTGGTTATCCAAGTGTCCTCTGTACTTATAGAGTTTTATAATGCCATAATCCAACCAAACCCTTTAGTTATTAAAATAAAATTCTGGTTCCCATGACGGACGAGCAAAAATCATCCCATTGACAGCATGTTTACCTTGCTTACAAAATATAATGGGTTTCTGAAGTTCAACTTAGAATAGGAATCAAAAGCGTCACCACAAAGTAATGACATTCAATGTATGGTTATGGTTTAAATGAAATCTGAATACAGCAGGCATCTCAGCACACAGCAGTCATGCAAAAGACATTTAAATAAACATAAAATCAAGAGTTTAACAAAGAAAACAACTTTCATTAGTATTTAAGAAAGCCATACTACTGTAATTTATACAAATATCTAAAACATACCTGAAAATCCTTGTAAGGCAAAGCATGTTGCTTTTTAATATTGAAAAGTCTTTTCATTTATGGCTTTATTGATTTTTTTACGCATATACATTAGACTTTTGTCAAATTTATCATGAAGAACTTGTACAATGTATTTGTAAACGCTTTGTAACTGTAACGGTATATTGCACTTCCAAATCAGACAAGTACGCAGTCAAAGTGAAAGTCAGACGAGGAGATGTCTGGCCCTTGGTGTCAGATGAGAGCAGGCTCACATGGGTTTGTAGCATGAATCTGGCTGCCACATGCGCAGGTCCACCAAGATCTGGTTGAGCTTCTGCATCCACAGATTCCTCTCGTCCTTAGTGTCAGCACTCAGCCAGTTCCTGCATATTACAAAGTCATGTTTTGATTTAGAGTTGATCTTCATCAAAGCAGATGAACTCACATTTGTTAATTGGGTCTTACTTTGTGACACACAGTGTGTCCTTGCACTGGCTGACCAGGGTCTCTCTGTCATCTTCCCTCTGAGGTCTCACAGTGATGAGCTCAAAGGTATTGGGGCGGGCACAGAACTCCCTGTTTGCTGGCTCCACTTTACGACTGGTACAGTTGGCAAGGTTAATACGACCAATTGGATTCTGCAAGAGGAAGAACATGTTCATTTTAATGCTATGTAAAGAGCATCTAAAAAACAAAACCATTATAGTAGACCTACCTTCCGTTTTTCATCATCAGGGTAGGTCCAATAAGAGATGCAGTATCCTGAAAGGACACACCACCTTCTGTGCCAGGCTCCAAATCCACTGACATCCTCAAACATGGTCTGAAAATAAAAGACAACCTCACTAGCAATCACACAAAGCCATCTCAGTTTAACAAGAACTGTTTTGCGGTCCAAGATTAGGTAATCCATCTCACTTAAGCACCAGTCATTCCATACCAAAATAGGATTAGATCCCCCTCATCCAGAAACACACCTTTCAGATTACCATATCTGGATTACTAGTGCTCCAAATGGAGTTATATTTCACAATGTAGACTGCTAGCCTATAGTAGAAGACTCAATGTGAGGTCACTTTAAGTGTTTTATTTAAGGAGAAGGAAAACAAAAACTAACATTTTCAATTACATGGATTAAATGACATAAAAACAATATATTTTAATGCGTTTGTGTTCTACCACAAAACTATTAATTCACACAGAACTCAAAAGGTTTTGAGAGTGAATGCAAAGTCTCCAATGGATTTACAAGAGAATGCAATTTTCCTTCCATCTCCTATTTTAATGTATTACTTTTACAGTTAAACCAAAACAAAAAAATATTCATAAATGCGTGTACATATTTTTGAGCAGTTTTAAATGACACTTTCTGCTGGGATTAGGAAAATCCTGATTTTCTGGATCAAAGGTATCCCAATCTTACTGAAACATTTTGAGCACAAACTGATAGATTTTATTTTTTGATCTAATCCGATTTCAAAATGATTATTTTTCTTTTCAACAACGCATTTTCAAGATTTGATCCAACCCAATTGCCAATTACTTTCGGACATCCTGATGACCTACTGATCAAGTTTATCCAGCAATGACTGGATATTTAATGGAAGGATTAGAACGGTTTTATCATTCTTTATACTTTCAGAATAAAGACTCACCAGGAAGCCCCTTTCCTCGATCCGTGTGCCAACCTCACAATGCATTTTCAGGTAAACGTGCCCCTCCAAAGGACAAAGGAAAGGTACCTGTAGTGAGATAGGACACTGTGGATGTCAGTGGATAGGAGACTAAGAACTGGAGCACATAAGCATATCCAACAGAAGCATCATTTAAAGCAAGAGAGAGAAAGACACATTTGCCTGAAGGAATAAAGAAAACAGAACTAGCACACACAAATACAAAGGACATTGATGTGCACACAGGTTTATAAAGAAGCAGCTTAAAGTGACAATGAGTATTACCAAAAAGAAACCAAGCCTTGTTAGATAAATTCTCAGACACATAACAACCCGTGTTACTAAACACAGAGCAAATATAGCAACCTTGTTGTGAAACATGTCACTGAGCAGCTCTCTTTCACTCCTTTCATATTTGATCTAAAAGAAAGAAATGACTGCATGTGAAAGAGTCTGGCAAATGCAAAAGGCAGCACTGTGCAAGAAAAACAAGAGTAGTGTTAACTGTATTAGGCTGGTGTGAACACTCATGCTGTGGTTAAACCTCTCTCTCTCTGATGCCAGCAAGCATTAGATCTAGTGTTTCGCCAGGTGGTGGTGTTAGTATTTCATTTGTGCAAGAGTTGATTTCAAAAAGGAAGCAAAGGGAGGAACGTACCTTCTCCAATGGAAATTTGTTTTTCCCAATGGAGGCTAGAGTTAGCTTGTGTGATCCAACGAGTACAAAGCCACTGGTGCGCACTGCATTTGGACCACCAGGGCTAGCCATAACTGAAAATAAATATACAAAATAATATTTTAATAACAACCATTAAAAAGTTAGTTGAATTGAACTACATTTAAATGCCAATTAATACTCACCAGGTGTTTGGAGGTTGCTCTTCTATAATAAATACATGGAGAAGACAAACAGTTTCAGAAAAAAAAATATATATATATATATTATTTTCACATGGTGAAATGATTGTTTACAGATAGAGGAGGAACTGCAGGCTTATAAAAACTGAACAATTATGGCTTCATTGTTCATTTATATTGTTTTTACTTGACTGTGGGAGAAGAATTTTATAAAGGGAATGCATTGACGTCACTTTCCCGCCGGAACAACCCCCCTCAGCCTGACTGAGTGGCAAAAGATCTGCTGCGTGACTGGATTTAATAGGGGAAACTGCAAAAATGCGACTAAAACGAACAATTTTATCAATTTAAACTAAATGTTGGGCTCAATATAGTGTTCCTTACAACTTACTAAAGATACAGTGATCCATGGAAATTGACATCCAGCCAGGAATCACGTTGCCTGACATTTATGTTTGCCTGATTTCGACAACGGGGAAATAAAAGCAATATAGACCTAAATAAAGCAAATTTGCCAGTGAACGCTTCATATAAATACAATATAGGTAGGTATAAATCCAGGTGATCCCTTATATCAGTGTTATATATAGCCTACATATATCATCCAGCCTTTTTTGGGGTCAGTGTTCATTAAAAAACATCCAATAACGCAGAATATGCAATGATAAA